CCCTTACTGCTGTGTACACTATCAATTGTGTTCCTTCCCTTGTCATCCATAATCAAACTCCCTTTGAACGTCTACATGTTACTCCTCCTCCATACACCAATCTTTTGGGTTTTTGGCTCTCTGCTTTGTTCTGCTTCAATCCCATGAACACACTAAGCTTAAACCTCATTCCCGTCTTTGCTGCTTTCTTGGATATGGGATTGAACATAAAGGCTTTCGCTGTTGGGATCCTCTCTCTAAGTGTCTTCGTATCTCTTGCCATGTAGTTTTCTAGGAGCACAAAATGTTTTCCTCCCTCTCCTCCTTTCACTTACCCGCACTCTCCACTCCGGTCATCTTTACTAATCCTTTCCCAGATCTCTTCTCTAATAACTTTGATACACGATTAAAAAAAAAAAATTTAATCAATTTACTGTTACTATTTATATCAATTTCGACGACAATAATTTTTTTTTTAAAAAAAAAATTTCATAATCAACATGGATCTTATTTGATAGATCCTGATGAGAGAATTCTAAAAATATTAATTTTATTAAAAACTGGAATCTACATCCAAAGTTATATTATTTTAAAGTTTAATATTTTGATAATAATGGTATGTGTTAGACTTTTCAAAGAAAACTTTTTATGTTTATCCTTAACACATTAAAATTTTATTATGAGATAATTTTAACCAAATTTCTTTTTTTTATTATTATTTTGAAAAAATATCAAATCACTAAGTTTTAAAAAAAATAAATACAAATTAGTAAAAAAATTTATTGAAAAAATATCAAATCACTAAGTTTTAAAAAAAATAAATACAAATTAGTAAAAAAATTTATTAATTTTAATAATTAAAAATGTAAATTTTTTTTTAAAAAAAATAATTTTGTAACATGTTTTTGCTGCTACCATTGGAGAGGGTTTATATAGTGAGTGTTATTTACCAAACTCGCTTTGTTTGAAAAATTATTGGAGAAATTATAATAAAAAAAAATCTTTAAAGTTTGAGTGTTGTAATAAAATGAGTATTAAATATTTTAATTTAAATCATTTGTTTATTTTTTAAATAAAATTAATAGAAAAACATATATTTTAGACAATTTTTGTGCATTTTTTGCACACTTACACTGAGTTTAATAATTAAAATTCTATTTATTATTATTTTTTTATTAAATACATAAATGATTTATATTGAAAATAATTAAAATTTTGATTTTAAATTGATAAAATTAAAATTCAGTGTTTATTTTGTTGTAAGGTTCAAATCTTTTTTTTTTCTTGTAATCTCTCCAAAATTATTTGTTAAATGTTTATGTTATTCTTAATTTATTTTTTAAACTCAAATTATAAATAAGTTCAATGTTACCTTTTGATGATTTTAGTGAATGTTTGGCGTATGGACTGGATGAGATAAAGATGGGCTGGGCTTTGACGGCGTCGATATGGGTTTCTTCTTCATAAGGTTTGTATATTAGTAAAGAGGAAAAATAATTGGAGAATAAGAGTACAGAATAGATAGTGTACCTGTTCCATTTGATTAATAGTTATGTTAAGAACACATAAATTAACCACAAAATGCGACATAACTCATTCATAAGACGTGAATCTCACACGTGTAGATTTCACCCTTTATTTTTAGGACTAAAAATAAATATTGTGCTGGTCCAATTAATTAAATCGTATAAATTAGTAGTCCATTCATGTGTGTGGTTGTAGTTCATTTTTAAGTATCTAAATTATCATTTCATACCATAGTTTAATTTATTTGTTTATTATAATTTTGTACATTGATTGATTATTGTATACCATATGTATAATATTTTATGTTGGGAATTTTAATGAAATGATATAACACTCATGGTAATTGAAAATTGTACTTATTTGTGATTAACATAAAAACTAACTAAAATGATTAAGAACATGTACAAAATTAAAGATTGATGGTTAATACAGACAGTTCAGGGTGAGCCTTGGTTTTTGATAATTTTTACATAATTGGCACGAGACTTATTTGAATCCTTATCATTATTTGGTTTTGGGATAAAGGGTGGATGTGCAGGTGGCACACAAGGAGGTTACGTACCCTGACAGAACGTTCTCTTTGGACAAATCACGGATGCTGCGACTTGGGTATATAACTCTGGGTGTCGACATCGTTGGTAGTTACAGTTGATAACACTTGAATATTTGACCAAGGGGGATTTCAAATTAACCGTGACTATGACTTAGTGGTTAGTAAGAAAAAAAATTTTGGTGAAATTTTGAGTGTCACTTAAACTATTAAAATTGTTAGAATTATTTTAATGATTGTTAAATTGCTATTCTATTAATTTCGTTATTTTTTCTTAATTGTCATGATTATTAATCTTATTATTTTCTCTTAAAAAGAATGGTAGATTTTGTGACACCCCGTATTTTTGAAGTATTAATATTTAGTGAGTGGTATTGGTGGTTTATTATGATAATTTAGTAATGAGATTTTTAGCTAAGAATCAAAATTTTAAATTATTTATTTGTATTTATCTCATCCATTTTATATCTATCATATTGTTATTTATTCTCATTTGTATTTTTTTTTTAGGCTATCTTAGTGTATTTAACGACCCGAGAGTGGGCGCTACAGATTTGTTATGTTTTTTTACTATGTTTCAAAACTCATGGCATATGTTTTGTTACCCTAGAGTTTTATGCCAAATTTTAACGAGGAAGGAGTGTAAGCTGAAATTGGAGCCGCTGCTAATATAGAGCCTTGGCTAATTTGACGCCTTGACTTTAACAAAATAAAATTTCACTATATTATGTATTAATGATTAAGGATGTTATAATATTGCTTAATATTGTATTTGGACTTTAATTTAGTGTTATTAAACTTTTGGCTATGTGAGAATCAAAATTTTCCTATTAAGATATTAAAATTTTAATTTAATGAATTATTTTGTTATTTAATTTCTTATGATGTTTCAAAAAAAAATTGGAACATCACAGATTGACCTCTTAAGTAAGTGGGTCTTTTTAACGATATGAGCCTTACCTTGATCGTTGCGATCAGATAAACCATTTGTATATGTTTAGATTGGGCTTATTAATAAGTAGAATAGCGGGTTTGAACCATTGTCCTCCTCATATCTTTATTGTGGAGTGGATCGCGATCACTTGTGTTTGAAAAATTTATTTTAAAATCAAAAGTATTCAATAAAATCTCAATAATAATTACTAAACATCGTCCGTAAGATATTAAAAAAAATAGAATCTATGGTAGAGCACAAAACTCATATAAAATTACAAGTCAAACACGCACAAGTTACATCCATATCAAGTTACTTGACCAATAAGCAAATTAGTTGCCACTTTCACAAATTTAATTTCTTGAAAGCAACTATCACTACCTCTATGATTAATAAGTAATAGGCACCATTTTATTGACTTTTATTGGATACAAAGAAAATAGAAGACATATACAATACCAATTAGACATCCTGCAGGTTTGATTGTGGCCGAAGGTTCTTCTAATGTGTAAATCTGGCCTCATGTTTTCCACATGATACACATGATTTTGACAGATTAAGAAAAAAACAAAAAATCATAAGAAATTATGAGAAAATGAACTCTTCTATCATATACTGTTTATAAATTGAGTGAGAAATGGTAAAAAATGATAAGAAATTGTAAGAAAGAGAATTCTCTTACTAAGGCTATTTTATTTCTTACCAAAAATAGTGAGATTTTGTAAAAAATAAATTAATTAGTTGTAAAATATTTATAATACTAGATTGTCCCTTAAAATACAAAATGAGAAAAATAAATCTCACTCATATCTCCTCTGTCTCTCTCTCTCTCTCTCGACAAATTATTCATTACCTTAGGGCTTTGTTTGATTCCACAAGATTAATAATGAGGTATAAATAATCCTATTAAATTAGTGTGGTATTCACAATTCCACCCCTACTCCATTATTAATAATCCTACAAATTTGTTAGATTAATTATCCATTGGATTAATAATCCTAAAACAAATTATCAAAACAAACATGAGATAATTGGGCCTACGGATTAATAATCCCAATTTCATACTCTAATCCTTCCAATCAAACATAGCCTAGGGCCATGTTTGTTTGGGCGGACTGGATTAGCATTCCCATGACTAATAGTCCTAGGATTACGAATCCGTTGGATTATGTATCCTATCTTAACTAATAATCAAGTTTAAAATAATTAGTCCGTACTTCAATTGTTTAACCAAACATCGGATTAATAATTTTAATGGACTATTAACCCAATCTCAAGCTCATGTCCACTCAAACAAACATGGCCTAAGAGTATTGCTTCACACTATTTATGTTTAGATAAAAATTCAATTATTTTCCTAAAAGAGACAAACGATAATATCATCTATTATTTTAACCAATAATACTTAAACTGCGACACCACCTAAATTTGCCGTGGGACAAAGAATAATTTATTTTTTCACACATGTTTTACTTGTCAAAACCATTTTTTATCAATTTCTACTTAAATTAAATACAAAAAAAAATCAAACTTGGTGTGGCTGCTGTGCGGGGTGTACAGCAGCCACTGCTGTGCAATCAATTGGGTCATTTTCGGGGTCAATTTTGATAATCCGAACCGTTCACATTTTAGAATACATCAAGTAGAATGTATTTATAAAAAATTAAGTTAATCGGATATCGTTTACCCATTTATCTACACACATTTGTATTCATTTTAATAGTTAATTATTATTTATTTTTGTAGATATAAATATGAGTGGATGAATAGGTAAACGATATTCGATTAACTTGATTTTTTACAGGTATGTTTTAGTTAATGTATTATAAAATGTGAACGGTTCGAATTATCAAAATGAGCCTCTAAAAAGACCCAAATGTCTGCAGTGCTGTGCACCCCCGCACAGCAGCCACCCCAATTCCAGTCCATCACCAGTGGGCGCGCAGAAGTTGGAAGTATGACCAACCCATTTGGCGCTTTCAATTTTTCTTCCATCACACGCGGAACCCATTTCCATTTTCCAACTGCAAACACCGCTGCATTGCAATTTGCAAACTATTCATACTTTTCAATTCAAATTTGTGAAATTTCTCTGTCTCTGTCTCTCTCTCTCGTATACATAACACATACACATTCAATTCAATTCAATTCCGATCCTAGCTCTCTCTCTCTCTCTCTCTCTCTCTCTCGTATACATAACACATACACATTCAACTTAATTCCAATCCTAGCTCTTCCTCTCTCTCTCTCTCTCTCACACACACACACATACACATACCCTTAACACGACAACAATGGATTCCATTGGTTTCGTCTGCCCTCGCCTTCCAGGCGCTACCTCAGCACTCCATCACCACCAATTACCGTGCATTCTTACGTGTCAAAGCCTCATCCCACGCCCACCTTCTTCTCACCGACGACTCTCCATTTCCGCCATTGCCTCCGCCACCGCCAATTCCACACCGGTTAGTCACTCCCATCTCTCTCTCTCTCTCATCACGCAGAGAGGCGGCTTAACCTGTTCTTATTTTCCTGCTTTTTATATTTTTTGGATTAATTACATTGATCTCCTCAAGTTTGGAGAAAATACAGAAAGCCGACAATAATTGTACTAATTTTCTCTTTAAATGGACTGGGTGGTGTGAATATACAAGGAAAAAAAAATATATAAAAGAGATTATAACATTATTTTTATTGATGGAAAAATGAATTAAGTGTTATGTGAACTTATAGTTTGAGGGACTAATCTAATTAAGCCAAAATTAGGTGGTTTGCGGTATTTACTTCCAAAACTTTGTAAAGGTGAAGTGTAATTTACCCTATTTTAAATTTTTTTATCATATCATTTTTCATTGATGTTAGAGCCTTTTTTTTTTTTTTTTTTGGTAAATTATAATTTATATTCATTTAATTTTTTATTGTGATATAGTTAAATTAGGCATGATTTTGTCAATTTTAATTTGGAAATTTGATATTTGCATTAATATTTTATATGCAATACAAATACTATTTGAGAATTGAATTTAATCTTCTAATATAATTCAATACATCGAAATCAAATATGTGTTTTTCTTCTGTTTGCGAAGGCCTTTCATGTGACACTATACGTATATCTTTCTCTTTTGTTTCCCTCTCTTACTCTGTTTGATTTGCAGCTAAGAAGTGGAACCTGCACTGTCTGTGATTTCATGACGAAAATGGAAGATTTACATGTTGTGAAAACCACGACGACAATCGATGAAGGTAATTAGGAAATGTAGGCTTATTTATGTTTCTTTAAAATGTTTATTATTCTTTCATTTTCTCATCACCAGCTTTGTCATCAACAGCTCTGGAGACTCTTGTGGATGAAAGAATTACAGCCTTTCCTGTGATTGATGATGATTCCAAATTGGTAATTTTATTTATTTATGCCTATCTTGTTTGTTCTAGAGCTTGGATTTTGTGGCTGGTGTAATGACATTTTCACGTCGTCATGCTTCAAATTCACGGGGGAAATTTGTAATAATAGAATTTTTTTAAAAAAAACTTGGTGATTGGTGTGTCAATGTGTGTCACTCTAGATTCCAATCTGAAGCTGTATTTGATTGTGTAATTAGGAGAGGCACTGATTGTAATTTTAGTGATTGTGGTACAATAAATAAAGCCAACTCCTTCTTTTACCATATGCGCCTGAGGTCCAAAGTGAAAGTCCTGCACATGTAGTAAACAGTTAAGTGATCAGGTTAGTGGTTGGTTTGGCTAGGAAGACACTCTGACGCATATATCAGGTTCTTGTTAAATGGAAGAAGAAGAGGAGTATCGTAAGTAGTAAATTAGATCGCACATACCTTGTGTAGAACTCTTGCTACTTGTAGAAAGTGTGGCTTAACCTTATGTTCTTGGCTCATGTTTGTTGCATCCACTCTTTAGTCCCTTGGACTGTATGTGGGCATTCTTGTCCTTTTCTTCATCATCCCATCACACGATGGGACTTTTTTTATTTTTTATTTTTTATCATCATTAGGGACTTTCATGAATATACTGGTTCCATCAGTGACCATTAATATGGGCGTCAGACATCTTTTTTGTGTTAGTTGAACCTTCTCTAGTAAGAATCCACCACATCATTGTGGTGTTTGGTGCTGACTGGACCTTCGTTTGTTACGATTAGCACTCCTTTATCTTTCCCAATCATAGTCGTGTTGTTGTTTCTCTCATATTGCCGATCACTTCTAGATTGCCAATCTTGTTCTCCGCTCAGCATCATGGTTGACTATTGTGCCGATTATGAGTTTAATTTCACCTCCCACAGTGAGGAATGTGAAAGAATTCTATTGCCAAGAAATGGTAATTTTCCTGTTGAATGGATCCATGAATGAATTTTTTTGGATACAAACCTCAGCCTTATCCTGTATTGGCAAGAAAAGGTGAGATGGATATCAAATATTTTGTAGAAGTTGAAACCCTAGTATATTTCATTAAAACGAAGCTTTTAACTTCCTTTATGAAAATGTTTAACTGGAATAGAAAACCATTAGCTATCCTAAATCCGTGCTCTGGAAATTGAGAAGTTTAGACGCGAACAACATGTGCAAGCTTAGATGATATTTGGTTTGTTGCTTTTCGGATCATTTATAAATCAATAGCTAATTCTCATTTCTATCCCTGTCCAAGTCCTAGATGCAACTTGGGTAATGGTTCCTGTGAAATTCATGAAATCAGAATTTTAAATCCATGGCCTTCAGGAAAATCTTACAATGCAAACAATCTTGGAAATTGTTATTGTTCTATTCTATATTGAGTAAAAGCTATATTCTGGTTGCAGGTTGGTGTTGTTTCAGACTATGACTTGTTAGCTCTCGACGCTATCTCAGGTACTATTGTGAAACTACATATTTAAAGTTGTTAGGTCAATTCCTGCAAGAGTCAAACTTGAACTTTTTAGTTAATTTTGTCCTGGGAAAAAATTGTCATATGTTGCTTTATGTTTTGTATTTGATTGATCTCGAAATCAGAGAGGTAGCATCATTGTGACATATATTTCTTTGTATATCTCGTTTGGCGATTTGTCCATTTTCTTTGATAATTTGGTTGGTGCTGGTTGTACACTTCATCATAGTCACTACTTAATGTTGATCAACTTTCACTCGGATTCTGTTCAGAATTCTCAATATTCAGTTTTTCCCATAAAATTTAAGACAATTACTTATGCTTCGTGTTTCTGGCTCTTAGGTTGTGGTGAAGCTGGTGCAAACATATTTCCTGATGTTCATAGTTCCTGGAAAGTATGTGAGATAACTCTTTTCAATTGACTGCTTATGCTATCATCCATAATCAGTTTTTCTATATACTGTTTTTTTTTTTTTTTCCCGACAAAGTTGTGGAATGTTGCTGTTGTGATTCTGGTGATATGCATCACACAATTGTTAATTGTTTCGATCATTCAAGAATGTCCTAAGAAACATGGTAGACTTGTTGATTGACAAAGAATTGGAACATTGATCCTAAACTTTAAACTCGACGCTCTGATAGCTGAAAATTCAACCACATCCCTTTCTGTTAGTATATCATAAATTTCAAGCATTTGCGTACTTCTTTTAGTTTATCAATAATGCACATGACATGACCACAAAATTTTGTTGGAGGTCTTTATCCATTTTAAAATTTGAACTACTAAGATGTTAAATGAATAGAAAATGGAGTTTTTCATTGTATCAACATGTACCTTCTTACTTGTTGATTGCACTTTTGAATTTGAAGTTTTCACCAGAGACATACCAGTTAGATTTGCGACATAATGAAATGCCCCTTAAAGGTGTTCAAGTCTTGTACGAGACTGGTAACTCTGAATGTAAGCATGTTATGTAGAATTCATATCAAATTATTGACAATTGTAGTTGACATTGTGGATATTAACTAAAAAGCGAAGTATTTCATCAAAACACTTTAATTTCTCAATTTTTATTTGACTGCAAAAACCAGAATGATTGATTTTACACCTCTCTTCTGATTGTCTAGTTGACAGTTTCTATTGTATAAGAATTTATTTGATGTTTTCATGTGAAATCCTCAAGACATTGTGTGAAATCAACTCACAAGCTACTTGTTTTTGTGATTCTGCACATTATGGCAGAGATTTAATGAGATTCAGAGACTGCTTAGTAAAACTAATGGGAAAGTTGTTGGCGATATGATGACTCCTGATCCACTTGTTGTTCGTGAAACCGCTAATCTTGAAGATGCCGTGAGGTACTTGCTCCTTTTTTATGCTTCCATAAACATCAATTTAAATTATTTGAAGGTCACTTTCTGCACTGTCTTTATGCTTTACTTACAAGTAAAACACATGTTCCTGTGACCTCTTAATCGTTGGCAAAAAGGATTTGTTTGTCTAAATTGTTTTTCAATTTGGATTTGATGAAAATTTGTCCTATAAACACACCAAATCGTAATGATTTTACGTCATGATTCTACTGATAACAGGAGAAAAAAGAAAAAAGAAAAAAAATAGAGGACGGACCTCTAAACTTTGCCTTTTTCGAAAAAAAAAACATTTTATTTGCTTCAAAATGTAATAGCCATTCATTTTCCTTGAAAGTTGGAACCATAAACACCCCAAACTGATTTTTTTTCTTCTAATTTTCAGGTTGTTGATTGAAACAAAATATCACCGATTGCCCGTTATAGATGATGATGGCAGGCTGGTAAAATATTTTTCTCTTACTTGTTTGGCATTCCTTAAATAAGTGTATTTATTTAACTTATATCATCTCTTTATTTTTTCTGTACATTTTTTGTAAAAAATAAAAAAGTATACTCATTTAAATTATGCCAAATAACTGATTTATTTGGTTATTAGATTTTCAATTTTATTGTATGCCTATTGACTGTTTCTCATTGGTCTGTGTTTGTAAAAGGTTGGAATTATTACAAGGGGAAATGTTGTTACAGCTGCCCTTCAGATTAGACGTGCCAGTAAGAGGATGCCATAATTGAAGATCATGACCGATTAAGGATCTGGGAAGCTCACTGAAGAAAGACAGCATTTGCTAGGATCAAAGTTGAAGGAAAATCTTGTACTATACAGGGTCTATGAAGGAAATTTTTGTCAACATATATAAAAGAATTGTAATTTCTTATGGAGGTTAAGGACTGATCATTTTATTTTATTATATTATTTTTTTTCCTTTTTTTTTTTTTAGTGAACCAGATGCAATATTAATTTGTATTTGAAGAAAGGAGATAGACTATAGGAAGAGTTTTTGGCTCATGTCATACCGACAAATTAGGAATGCTAGAGTCACTCCATCCTTTATAAATCTAATGTTTGGTGTTTCAAATCGGCAAAAAAACTAAGAATGCAAAGGCATCAATGTTTTATTTAATAGAATAAATTATTCTAATAGTTGGATTTAATTTTTATTAAGTCTTATTGTAATTAAGTTTTAGTAAAATTGTTGTTAAAAATAATTTTTTGTGATGATATTTGACATATGTCGCAAAACATTGATAATTAGCGAATTTTTTTGCCGCAATTTTTTATAAATTGTTACTAAAATCTACAATTAGAGTCTTTTTTTGTAACAATTTTTTTAAACTGTTGCTAAAAGATAAAAATTAGTGACTTTTTTGTGATGATTTTTTAAACTGTTGTTAAAACTTATAATTAGTGATTTTTTTTGACAAAATTTTCAAACTATCTTTGAAAATTAATAATTAGTGACTTTTTTTAATAGTGTTTAATGAAAAATGTTATTATATTGGACAGTAAGTCTACCTATTAAGACCTGCACATAAGCCCTTCATTTAATATTATCTGAAATTAGAGGCGGGCTTGCGTGGATCAAAACGGATTATGCATTTAAAAAAATTGTACCCAAATTTTGCCCACACTTATACCTTACATTTTGCAACAAACAATTTGCAGTGCTAGTTTAGTTACTGTGATATCAGTAGACGGCAATTTGACAACATTACTCTTTGATACTATATATATATGTTGGGTTAACCCCACATCGATTAGGAGGGACTTCTACTTCCACCTTATAAGTGCACTGGCCCCCTCCACCTGTTAATACGCCTTTTCTCCCAAAAAGGAACTGTTGGCTACATATTTTGTAAAAGCCAGTTATAGTTCGACACGTGGCAGAATAAGGGTAATAAAGGAAGGTTATTCAAGCCTTCAATCCTGATCGTACACGTGGCAATAAATATTGGTCCTCACATGATCTGAGTAACACTAGATCAATAACGGAATGCAAGACGACATAGCTTCAACAGTTACTCATATTCAAATTCAAGTACAAGAGGGAAACTCAACTGCCATTAATGACGTAATGGAGCTACTTGTAAGGAAGCATGATCAGCGATCATGGAGGAGCAGTTCGACAGTTCGAAGTGCAGTTCGAATTATAAAATGTGAACGGTTCGAATTATCAAAATGAGCCTCTAAAAAGACCCAAATGTCTGCAGTGCTGTGCACCCCCGCACAGCAGCCACCCCAATTCCAGTCCATCACCAGTGGGCGCGCAGAAGTTGGAAGTATGACCAACCCATTTGGCGCTTTCAATTTTTCTTCCATCACACGCGGAACCCATTTCCATTTTCCAACTGCAAACACCGCTGCATTGCAATTTGCAAACTATTCATACTTTTCAATTCAAATTTGTGAAATTTCTCTGTCTCTGTCTCTCTCTCTCGTATACATAACACATACACATACACATTCAATTCAATTCAATTCCGATCCTAGCTCTCTCTCTCTCTCTCTCTCTCTCTCTCGTATACATAACACATACACATACACATTCAATTCAATTCAATTCCGATCCTAGCTCTCTCTCTCTCTCTCTCTCTCTCTCTCGTATACATAACACATACACATACACATTCAATTCAATTCAATTCCAATCCTAGCTCTCTCTCTCTCTCTCTCTCGTATACATAACACATACACATTCAATTTAATTCCAATCCTAGCTCTTCCCCTCTCTCTCTCTCTCTCACTCACGCACACACCCTTAACACGACAACAATGGATTCCATTGGTTTCGTCTGCCCTCGCCTTCCAGGCGCTACCTCAGCACTCCATCACCACCAATTACCGTGCATTCTTACGTGTCAAAGCCTCATCCCACGCCCACCTTCTTCTCGCCGACGACTCGCCATTTCCGCCATTGCCTCCTCCACCGCCAATTCCACACCGGTTAGTCACTCCCATCTCTCTCTCTCTCTCATCACGCAGAGAGGCGGCTTAACCTGTTCTTATTTTCCTGCTTTTTATATTTTTTGGATTAATTACATTGATCTCCTAAAGTTTGGAGAAAATACAGAAAGCCGACAATAATTGTACTAATTTTCTCTTTAAATGGACTGGGCGGTGTGAATATACAAGGAAAAAATATATATATATAAAAGAGATTATAACATTATTTTTATTGATGGAAAAATGAATTAAGTGTTACGTGAACTTATAGTTTAAGGGACTAATTTAATTAAGCCAAAATTAGGTGATTTGGAGTATTTACTTCCAAAACTTTGTAAAGGTGAAGTGTAAGAATTTACCCTATATTAAATTTTTTTAACATATCATTTTTCATTGATGTTAGAGCCTTTTTTTTTTTTGGTAAATTATAATTTATATTCATTTAATTTTTTATTGTGATACAGTTAAATTAGGCATGATTTTATCAATTTTAATTTTGAAAATTGATATTTGCATTAATATTTTATAAGCAATACAAATACTATTCGAGAATTGAATTTAATCTTCTAATATAATTCAATACATCAAAATCAAATGTGTTTTTCTTCTGTTTGCTAAGGCCTTTCATGTGACACTGTACGCAAATACGTATATCTTTCTCTTTTGTTTCCCTCTCTTACTCTGTTTGATTTGCAGCTAAGAAGTGGAACCTACACTGTCTGTGATTTTATGACGAAAATGGAAGATTTACATGTTGTGAAAACCACGACGACAATCGATGAAGGTAATTAGGAAATGTAGGCTTATTTATGTTTCTTTAAAATGTTTATTATTCTTTCATTTTCTCATCACCAGCTTTGTCATCAACAGCTCTGGAGACTCTTGTGGATGAAAGAATTACAGCCTTTCCTGTGATTGATGATGATTCCAAATTGGTAATTTTATTTATTTATGCCTATCTTGTTTGTTCTAGAGCTTGGATTTTGTGGCTGGTGTAATGACATTTTCACGTCGTCATGCTTCAAATTCACGGGGGAAATTTGTAATAAAAGAATTTTTTTTAAAAAAACTTGGTGATTGGAGTGTCAATGTGTGTCACTCTAGATTCCAATCTGAAGCTGTATTTGATTGTGTAATTAGGAGAGGCACTGATTATAATTTTAGTGATTGTGGTACAATAAATAAAGCCAACTCCTTCTTTTACCATATGCGCCTGAGGTCCAAAGTGAAAGTCCTGCACATGTAGTAAACAGTTAAGTGATCAGGTTAGTGGTTGGTTTGGCTAGGAAGACACTCTGACGCATAAATCAGGTTCTTGTTAAATGGAAGAAGAAGAGGAGTATCATAAGTAGTAAATTAGATCGCACATACCTTGTGTAGAACTCTTGCTACTTGTAGAATGTGTGGCTTAACCTTGTGTTCTTGGCTCATGTTTGTTGCATCCACTCTCTAGTCCCTTGGACTGTATGTGGGCATTCTTGTCCTTTTCTTCATCATCGCATCACACGATGGGACTTTTTTTATTTTTTATTTTTTATCATCATTAGGGACTTTCATGAATATACTGGTTCCATCAGTGACCATTAATATGGGCGTCAGACATCTTTTTTGTGTTAGTTGAACCTTCTCTAGTAAGAATCCACCACATCATTGTGGTGTTTGGTGCTGACTGGACCTTCGTTTGTTACGATTAGCACTCCTTTATCTTTCCCAATCATAGTCGTGTTGTTGTTTCTCTCATATTGCCGATCACTTCTAGATTGCCAATCTTGTTCTCCGCTCAGCATCATGGTTGACTATTGTGCCGATTATGAGTTTAATTTCACCTCCCACAGTGAGGAATGTGAAAGAATTCTATTGCCAAGAAATGGTAATTTTCCTGTTGAATGGATCCATGAATGAATTTTTTTGGATACAAACCTCAGCCTTATCCTGTATTGGCAAGAAAAGGTGAGATGGATATCAAATATTTTGTAGAAGTTGAAACCCTAGTATATTTCATTAAAACGAAGCTTTTAACTTCCTTTATGAAAATGTTTAACTGGAATAGAAAACCATTAGCTATCCTAAATCCGTGCTCTGGAAATTGAGAAGTTTAGACGCGAACAACATGTGCAAGCTTAGATGATATTTGGTTTGTTGCTTTTCGGATCATTTATAAATCAATAGCTAATTCTCATTTCTATCCCTGTCCAAGTCCTAGATGCAACTTGGGTAATGGTTCCTGTGAAATTCATGAAATCAGAATTTTAAATCCATGGCCTTCAGGAAAATCTTACAATGCAAACAATCTTGGAAATTGTTATTGTTCTATTCTATATTGAGTAAAAGCTATATTCTGGTTGCAGGTTGGTGTTGTTTCAGACTATGACTTGTTAGCTCTCGACGCTATCTCAGGTACTATTGTGAAACTACATATTTAAAGTTGTTAGGTCAATTCCTGCAAGAGTCAAACTTGAACTTTTTAGTTAATTTTGTCCTGGGAAAAAATTGTCATATGTTGCTTTCTGTTTTGTATTGGATTGATCTCGAAATCTGAGAGGTAGCATCATTGTGACATATATTTCTTTGTATATCTCGTTTGGCGATTTGTCCATTTTCTTTGATAATTTGGTTGGTGCTGGTTGTACACTTCATCATAGTCACTACTTAATGTTGATCAACTTTCACTCGGATTCTGTTCAGAATTCTCAATATTCAGTTTTTCCCATAAAATTTAAGACAATTACTTATGCATCATGTTTCTGGCTCTTAGGTTGTGGTGAAGCTGGTGCAAACATATTTCCTGATGTTCATAGTTCCTGGAAAGTATGTGAGATAACTCTTTTCAATTGACTGCTTATGCTATCATCCATAATCAGTTTTTCTATATACTGTTTTTTTTTTTTTTTCCCGACAAAGTTGTGGAATGTTGCTGTTGTGATTCTGGTGATATGCATCACACAATTGTTAATTGTTTCGATCATTCAAGAATGTCCTAAGAAACATGGTAGACTTGTTGATTGACAAAGAATTGGAACATTGATCCTAAACTTTAAACTCGACGCTCTGATAGCTGAAAATTCAACCACATCCCTTTCTGTTAGTATATCATAAATTTCAAGCATTTGCGTACTTCTTTTAGTTTATCAATAATGCACATGACATGACCACAAAATTTTGTTGGAGGTCTTTATCCATTTTAAAATTTGAACTACTAAGATGTTAAATGAATAGAAAATGGAGTTTTTCATTGTATCAACATGTACCTTCTTACTTTTTTATTGCACTTTTGAATTCGAAGTTTTTACCAGAGACATACCAGTTAGATTTGCGACATAATGAAATGCCCCTTAAAGGTGTTCAAGTCTTGTACGAGACTGGTAACTATGAATGTAAGCATGTTATGTAGAATTCATGTCAAATTATTGACAATTGTAGTTGACATTGTGGATATTAACTAAAAAGTGAAGTATTTCATCAAAACAATTTAATTTCTCAATTTTTATTTGACTGCAAAAACCAGAATGATTGATTTTACACCTCTCTTCTGATTGTCTAGTTGACAGTTTCTATTGTATAAGAATTTATTTGATGTTTTCATGTGAAATCCTCAAGACATTGTGTGAAATCAACTCACAAGCTACTTGTTTTTGTGATTCTGCACATTATGGCAGAGATTTAATGAGATTCAGAGACTGCTTAGTAAAACTAATGGGAAAGTTGTTGGCGATATGATGACTCCTGATCCACTTGTTGTTCGTGAAACCACTAATCTTGAAGATGCTGTGAGGTACTTGCTCCTTTTTTATTCTTCCATAAACATCAATTTAAATTATTTAAAGGGCACTTTCTGCACTGTCTTTATGCTTTACTTACGAGTAAAACACATGTTCCTATGACCTCTTAATTGTCGGCAAAAAGGATTTGTTTGTTTAAATTGTTTTTAAATTTGGATTTGATGAAAATTTTTCCTATAAACACACCAAATAGTAATGATTATACAGCATGATTCTACTGATAAAAACAGAAAAAAGAAAGAAAAAAAAAGAAAAAAGAAAAAACAGAGAAGGACGGACCTCTAAACTTTGCCTTTTTCGAAATTTTTTTTTTTTATTTGCTTCAAAATGTAATAGCCATTCATTTTCCTAGAAAGTTGGAACCATAAACACACCAAACTGATTTTTTTTCTTCTAATTTTCAGGTTGTTGATTGAAACAAAATATCACCGATTGCCCGTCGTAGATAGTGATGGCAGGCTGGTAAAATATTTTTCTCTTATTTGTTTGGCATTCTTTAAATAAGTGTATTTATTTGAGTTATATCACTTCATTATTTTTTCTGTACATTTTTTCGTAAAAAATAAAAAAAGTACACTTATTTAAATTATCCTAAATAACTGATTTATTTGGTTATTAGATTTTCAATTTTATTATATGCCTATTGGCTGTTTCTCATTGGTCTCTGTTTGTAAAAGGTTGGAATTATTACAAGGGGAAATGTTGTTGGAGCTGCCCTTCAGATTAGACGTGCCAGTAAGAGGATGCCACATTTGAAGATCATGACCGATTAAGGATCTGGGAAGCTCACTGAAGAAAGACGGCATTTGCTAGGACCAAAGTTGAAGGAAAATCTTGTACCATAAAGGGGCTATGAAGGAAATTTTTTCAACATTTATAGAAGAATTGTAATTTCTTATGGAGGTTAAGGACTGATCATTTTATTCTATTATATTCTTTTTTCTTTTTTTTTTAGTGAACCAAATGCAATATTAGTATTTGAAGAAAGGAGATAGACTATAGGAAGAGTTTTTGGCTCATGTCATTCCGACAAATTAGGAATGCTAGAGTCACTCCATTCTTTATAAATCTAATGTTTGGTGTTTCAAATCGGCAAAAAAACTAAGAATGCAAAGGTATCAAAATGTTTTATTTAATAGAGTAAATTATCAAGAAGTTTTAATAAGTCTTATTAAAAATAAGTCTTAGTAAAATTATTGTTAAAAATAATTTTTTGTGACAATATTTGGCATATGTCGCTAAAAATTGATAATTAGCGATTTTTTTTTGCCACGGTTTTTATAAATTGTCGCTAAAACTTACAATTAGAGTTCTTTTTGTGACGAATTTTTTAAACTGCTGCTAAAAGTTAAAAATTATGATTTTTTTGTGATCATTTTTTTAAATTGTTGCTAAAATTTATAATTATTGATATTTTTTTGACAAATTTTTCAAAATATCGTTGAAAATTAATAATCAATGACTTTTTTTAATAGTGTTTAATGAAAAATGTCATTAATTATATAGGACCTATTGGACAGTAAGTTTACTTATTAAGACCTGCACATAAGTCCCCTATTTGATATTATTTGAAATTAGAGGCAGGTTTGAGTGATCAAAACGGATTATGCATTTAAAAAAATTCTACCCAAATTTTGCCCAGACTTATACCATACATTTTGCAACAAACAATTTGCAATGGCAGTTAGTTACTGTGATATCAGTAGAGGGCAATTTGACAACATTACTCTTTGATACTATATATTGGGGTGAAACGGACTTGGGTCAATGCTGTGCCAAAGTGTCTTATTTTGAGATGCATTATGGGCTTATTTTTATGATCTGAACCGTTCATTTTGTAGGATTTGTTGAGTACTTCAAGCCTACCAAAAATCATATTAATCGGATATCAATAACTATATGATCGAATTGCATATTTTTATACTATTTTTCAAAAGAAAAACTTCTTATTTATATTTTTGGTTATCAATTATATAGTTATTGGTATCCGATTAATATGATTTTTGGTAGGCATGAAGTACTCAACAAACCTTACAACATGAACGGTTCAGATTATAAAAATAAATCCATAATGCACCACAAAATGAGGCACAATAGTCACTGCTGTGCCAAAGGCACATCAGTGACCCCAATTCCGGATGAAATAGTCTAGCAATACTTCCTCTAAGCGGAAAATTTCAGATTAACCATGATTTTAAAAATATATATGTTGGGTTAATCCCACATCGACCAGGGAGGGACTCCCACTTTCACCTTATAAACTGGCCCTCTTTACTTGTCAATAGGCCTTTTCTCCCGAGAAGGAACAAAACCATGAGACTCCGGCAAAAGTGGACAATATATTGACGGGGTGCGAGAGGACAGGCGTCGCGAAATTTGGCGTTAGAAGGAGGGCTGTTTGGTAAACTCTCTCACTGTTGCGGCCCAGTCTGTTGGGTCAATCCCACATCGACCAAGGAGGGACTTCCACTTCCACCTTATAAGCGCACTGGTTCCCTTCACCTGTCAATAGGCATTTTTCCTCGAGGAGGAAAAAAAGCATGAGGCTTCGACCAAAGCAGACAATCTATTGACTGGGCGCGAGAGTACAGGGGTCGCGAAATTTGGTTTTGTTCCTCCTCGGGGGAAAAGGCCTATTACTAGGTTGAGTGTTGGAATAGCTCAGTTGTTGAGCAATATACAGTCTGCTTTAGGATTGAGGGAGCTGGTCCCCTTCTCACGGTTTTAAAGGCCTATTGACAGGTGGAGGGGGCCAGTGCGTTTATAAGGTGGAAATGGGAGTCCCTCCCTGGTCAATATGGGATTGACTCAACATAACTCCCCAGTGGACTAGGCTGCAATAGCGGGAGAGTTTGCCGGATAACCCTCATTCTAGCACCAAATTTCGCGACGCCTATCCTCTCGCGCCCCGTCAATATATTGTCCACTTTGGGCAGAGTCTCATGGTTTTAAAGGCCTATTACCAGGGGTGAGTATTGGAATAGCTTAGCCACCGAGCAATATACTATCTGCTTTGGGGTTGAGGGAGCTGGTTCCCCTCTCACGGTTTTAAAGGCCTATTGACAGGTAGAGGGAGCCAGTGCGCTTATAAGGTGGAAGTGGGAGTCCCTCCCTCCTAACATAACCCCTTAGTGGACTGGGTCGCAATAGCGGGAGAGTTTACCGGACAACCCTCATTTTAGCGCCAAATTTCGCAACGTCTGTTCTCTCACGCCCCGTCAATATATTGTCCGCTTTGGCCAGAGCCTCACTGTTTTGTTCTTTCTTAAGAGAAAAGGCCTATTGACAGATAGAGGGGGCCAGTGCGCTTATTAGGTAGAAGTGGAAATCCTTCCCTAGCCGATGTGGGATTGACCCAACATAACCCCCTAACAGATTGCCTATTGACAGGTGGAGGGGGCTAGTGCGCTTATAAGGTGGAAGTAGGAGTCCCTCACTGGCTGAAGTGGGATTGACCCAACATAATCCCCTAGCTGATTGGGTCGCAATAGCGGAAGAGTTTGCTGAACAACCCTTCTTCTAACGCCAAATTTTGCGACGCCTATCCTCTTGCACCTCGTCAATATATTGTCTGCTTTGGCCAGAGCCTCACAGTTTTGTTCCTTCTCGGGAGAAAAAGCCTATTGACAGGTGGAGGGGGCCAGTGCGCTTATAAAGTGGAAGTGAGAGTCCCTCCCTAGTTGATGTGGGCTTGACCCAACATAACCCCCTAGCGGACTGGGCTGTAACAGCAGGAGAATTTGCCGGACAGCCCTCCTTCTAGCGCCAAATTTCGCGACGCCTATCCTCTCGTGCCTCAGCACTATATTGTCCACTTTGGTCGGAGCCTCACGGTTTTGTTCCTCCTCGGGAGAAAAGACCTATTGCTTGGGTGAGTGCTGGAATAGCTCAGTTGTCGAGTAATGTGTACTATCTGCTTTGGGTTGAGGGAGTTGGTCCCTCCCTCACAGTTTTAAAGGTCTATTGACAAGTGGAGAGAGCCAGTGCGTTTATAAGGTAGAAGTGGGAGTCCCTCCCTGGTCGATGTGGGATTGACCCAACAATATATAAAAGTAATAATTTCATTTTGATTTGTACAAAAGATTTGGTGGTGGTGGTATTCGGCACCCATATTAACTCATTTAAATAAGATGCAACCCATTCAAACATATTTATGGATGTGGACAAATTTTAAAAAAATTTAATTGACTGAATTTATAGTTTTGGATTGAGTTTGCTACCTTTGTATATATGATGGTTATTTAAGGGGGCCATTAAATAAGATTAAATTTTGTAAGGTTTGTATTTGGTTCATGGATTTGAAAAGAAAAAAGAAAAAGATAAGTAAAATCTGAATAAAATATAATTATATTTCATACATATTTCTTCTTCTTCTTTTTTTTTTTTTTTTTTTAAATCCTCACTCAAATTTATAAATCAAACACAAAATAAGAATGAACAAAAGGAACTCTGTAATATTTTAGAAACATTTAATGGGCCATTAAATAGGATGGGATCACATAAGAAAAATGTCTAAATGTCACTACATATAGCATATAACCATTGTCTATAGGGTTAATTTGTAGTTGGTATCTCCTAGAAGATGCACATGATATGTACTCATTTCAGTCTTTTAGAATATGATATGATGTGTACTCACATTTTGATATAATACATTATTGTATATGTAGTATGCAATGTGTTTAAGATTATGACTGAAAATATATTACATCATAAATTGAGTAATTTATCAAATCACTAAAATTATGATACAATATGATCGGATTATAACTTCGAAAGCATCTCATTGTAACTTCACATCCATCTCATTGGATAGCTAGTGATTGCTTTGCAAATACTTTTGATGATACAGTTCGTGACGATGGAATGGGTCGGACTGATCCACGCTCCTCAAGCCTATGTCCGAATGACTAAGCCCACGGGGGAACCTGAACAAGAGTTCAACGGGGAACGGGGAGTCCCCCAGCGAACCCTCCGACGAGCAAGTTAGAAAGAGAAGTGGATTGTAGAGATAGACTAGAGATAGAAAAGCTTAACCTTCTTCTTGTCTTCAACGTCTGCTTATATCCTCTAGTAACCATTTCGTTGTCCCTTCCGACCTGTCACCTTGGCCGAAAGTCTATGCTGTAGCTTATCTTGTTCAGGGTGAGGGCATGCTGTCCTGACGGAGAGGGGTTATCACAATAAATGCTGTAAGGGGCCTTATTAATGGCGATGTGCCGTGGCAATAACTTTGCAGATCTTTGTCTGCTGATGTGGCTTGCCCTTCTCTCGCCACGTGTCTTGATGTCATTGGTTCTTATTGCTATGTGGGGTTTCAGCAGTGCTGGGCTTCATTAATTGGATTATGTATTGGGCCCTAAGTGGTAGGCCTGGGTTGTTCATATTGGGCTGTAGCGTTTATGGGCCTACCCATGTCAGTAGTCCCCCATTCTTAAGTGCAGCTTTAGTCCAACGAAGGGAATAATGAAGAAAATGAGGGTTGTGAGAGAGCGGCAGGATGGAGACCGACCAATAAGAGTGACTGAGTGGATGGACCGACCATGAGGAGGGTCGGCCGGTAAGGGTGGCCGAGTGGAGGGACTGACCATGAGGAGGACCGACTGTGGAGGGTCGCCGAGTGGAGGGACCGACCATGAGGAGGGCCGACCGCGGAGGGTCGCCGAGTAGAGGGACCGACCACGAGGAGGGCCGACCGCGAAGGGTAGCCGAGTAGAGAGACTGACCACGATGAGGGCCGACCGCGAAGGGTAGCTGAGTGGAAGGACCAACCATGAGGAGGGCCGACCACGAAGGGGGAGGTGGCGGGGTGCGGCGCTCGAGAGGCGGCGGGCCACGTGGTGACTTGAAGTGGAAAAGACAGGGTAGAGGAATGGGGTAGTGAATCGTGGTCGTACACGTGGCAGAA